ATAAATTCTCCTTTGGTAATTAGCTTCACAGCGTAGCAGATGTTTTGTTGGAACCACTTTATATATCAGTCATAGTTTTGGTTCTCCTCTGGCCTGGGTTCTCCTAGTGAACCTAGCGAAGCTTATCAGTTGCGAGTCTTATAATTTGTGTTTACAGTGCGACCGAGCGCGGCACAAGTAGTTCTCGACAGATCAGTGAAATACATGTAAAACCCTTCTCAGTCAAAGCAACGCTGAAATTCTCCTTTAAAGCACAGTGAATATAAACCAACTTGATAATCTCAAAAGCAGAAGCTGCTGAACTGAAACATGTTTGGAAACCATCCACATCGAGCACTGCGATCGATGTTCACTTCGTGCGTGCTGAAGATTACTGATCATCATGTGTCACGTACGCAGTGATAATATAACATGAATCGAGGTGCATCATGGGATACTATTTGATTGTCGTCTGACGCGAGACTATTAATTAGTTAACCACACTTGACTGTGGCGTCACGAATCATATAACAACAGAGGAAAGTACGTACTGAAGAAGTCTATTTTTGTGCACAAAAGCTACTTTTTATTGCCTTAAATGTGTCTATTTTGGAAGATTATATACTGAAAAGGTCGGCAACAAAAAAGTTTACTGACCTTTGTGTACTAATGCGTAGATAGATTACTGTGAAAAATCCCCAAAAATGTGGTTAATTATGCAACAAATGGCCGCCATTGATGAGTTATGCAACAAAATATTACGCGATGCATGATGGGAAGGGTGTTACATCCTCCTTTTTTAAGTAGAAGCAGTTTAATAAGCTTATTAATTTTTCAGCAATTTGCACATAATTAGTGTTAGTCATTGTGAATTTTTGCAAAGGCCAATCTCAAGCTGTTATTGGATGGACTGTTTCATATGGCTACTAGGCCTTATGATGATTCTCTTCTTAATGTCTTCTTACCTGAGGGGCGAGAGTACTTTAACCAAGTTTGGTCATAGGGTACTGGTACTAAAACCTAGCCTGTCAATACAAATGTATTTCTGGTTTTTGCTCTCTCTGCCCAAAAAGTAACGTACTCTGGGTACAAGAGCAGCCAAACTACTTCTGTGACAAAAACCTCATTGCCAACTGTGATTTGAGCATTAAGTATGTGCATGGGTCAAAAATGATTGTGATATTACTGTATTTTTGCTCCTTAGCGGAACCAGTTGTAGAAGCTGCTTTGCAACAAGCATCAACAGACATGGTCTTTATTTTAGTTGTTGTTGGTGACAAGCCAACGTAAGTTCAATCTTTCTTTTCATCATTATTTTCATAAAATAGGTCTGCCTTTATTGTATAATTTCAAGTGCATGATTTTTTTTTAATGTACTCTTCTAAAGTCTTTCATTCCAATATGTAGTCAAATATGAAGGTATGATGCTTGTAAATTGTAAGTCTTTGGATGAATTCCTATGAAGTGTGTCGATTCAAATGTATTCTCTCAGCAGAAATTTTACTGGGTACAGTGTACTACATGTCTTTCTGTATGTTACAAGATGAAGGTGGAAATTTTCGTTGGATTTTGAGTTGGCCACCTCTACAGGGGCATAGCTAGGGGGGTGACCCTAGGGTGCCCATGACCCCCCCCCCCTTTTGTGAGATAATTGTTTTATGTCCCTATAATTCAGGTGGCCAAAACACACGAATCCAAAGAATCAACATGCAATAAATCTTTTCCAGTACTAGATAGTTACTTACTCCATTTACAGGACCTAACGTCTGCAGAGGACCATGTTCTTGTTCATTACTAAAATAGAGTCATTTATGCGACATGGAACTTAATAATCTATGTAGCTATTTTGTAGGTTTGTCCCTCCCCCCACGCTCACTGCTCATCCAAAAAAAAGTCACTTTTAGTATAACATGGTGTAGATGTTGACATACCAATCTGATAAGTATCCTGGGTATGACATAGTGTGACCCCCCCCCCCCTTTGAAAAATCCT